AATAATAGCAATAGCAAGGTACCTAAAACTCCAGATTAACTAATTATACTCCCCCAAAGCAATGGATGTAAACATTTGGTTCACATCTTTAACAATTCAAGAATATACACACTCATAGTTTTGTACTTAAATTTTTTTTTTCAGAAAATCCTCATTAAAATCCTCATAAATTCCAAAAAGTTCATGAGTCAAAGAAGCCATAATCCTTCAAAATGAAGAAAAGGATTAAGAGAAATAAGTCATTCTGTGACAAAAATAAGTTCTTAAACTCACGTGTCAGTTTTAACAAAGTTTCATAGCTTATTGCATTAGCTTCTGTCTTTGGTTATATCATGTCAAGTCGGGGCATGCCATTTGACCCATTACTTAAAAAGAAATATTTATAAATTTTCTTTGGTCATCAAAGCTGGCAGAAGTGGAATTTAGAATGATGACATTTCCATCCTTCCTGAGCTCAACTAAGCACAATATGGGTCCTGAGTAATAGAGAACAATGGGGCTACGGTAGAAAAGCACAGTTAAGCTAGAGTTTTCTGTGAGCTGGTTATGATGCGTGAGTACCAGAGTATTAATTGTCAAATACAATTTTCAGTAATTCAAAACATAGTTGTCATACAGATATAAATGAAGATGTGTCAAATACAATAGAACTCATGAACAAATAAACAGTAAGATGCTAAAGGTGGTTAAAAAACCATTGAGTATAGGCATTTGATAAAAACAAGCATTAGACTATGATCTCTAGGTTAGAGTTTTAAAAAATTTTTAGTGTTCTACAGGGTAATGATGACACCATTACTTTTAAGATATTTTTCCAATGGGCAGAAATACACAAATTAACAAACAACTTCACAGTGTCTAGGCCCGAATTTTTAAAAAAATAGCAATGACAATCACAGGCAAATTACTCTAAATAGTCCTTGGATTGGCTTGCTAAACAATGCTCCAGTGTGATTTGGAAATGATATACTGTGCTCTTTTTATTTAGAAGTTTTGGATATGTTTTCTTAACAGTTCCTCTATTTTGATAATAAACAACCTCTAAAACTTTTTCTTGATTTCAAAAGAGGCTGGCTCCATTATGTTTGGCCTGATATTTTACTCATGTGCAGAAAACACTGTGAATTCATCATATAAGACTCCTTGAGCTTGGAGCACAGGACAAATACTGAGGCTAGAAAATTGACATTTGTGTGGAAATTTCATTTTGGAAATAAAGATTGGGTCTTTTACATGCCTCTATTATTCTTCTATCTCAAACCTAAGTAACAGACTGTGGAAAGATATTATTGCTAATATAAAGAATGAAGAATTATCCTTCAATTTGATTAAGCTCTAGTGTTACATTTTCACAGTCCTAAAGTTTGTAGAAGTAATGATGTATTCTGATCAGTAAACCGGTGTAAGAAATTCAAGCAGCTCAGTTTAAACAGAAATACCATTTGTCCTAAGAATCCTATTATTTGGTATGTAACCAAAGGAATATAAATCATTCTGCCCTAAAGACACATGCACCCATGTGTTCATCACAGCACTATTTGCAATAGCAAAGACATGGAATCAACCTAATCGTCCATCGATAGTAGTGTGGATAAATAAAATGTGGGACATATGCAACATGGAATACTAGGCAGACATAAAAAAGAATGAGATCATGTCCTTTGCAGCAACATAGATGGAGCTAGAGGCCATTATCTAAGCAAACTAACCCAGAAACTGAAAACCAAATATCACATGTTCTCACTTATAAGTGGGAGCTAAACAGTAAGAACACATGGACACAAAGAGATTACTTGAATGTGGAGGGTGGGAGAAGGGGGAGGATCTCCCTTAGTACCCATAGTACCTGTTGGGTACTATGCTTATTACCTGAGTAAGGAAATAATCAGTACACTAAACCCCCTAGACATACAGTTTACTTGTATAGCAAACTTACGATTTTACCCGGAACGTAAAATAAAAGTTAAAAACAAAAAAATAACTTCCTATCTAAAAATTAAAAAGAAAAGAAACTTAAGCAGTCAGATTAATTGGCCTCTTCAAAAAATAAAAAACCCAAAATAAAAATTATTACTCCTGTCTATTTTGTTCAAAGATTCACCTTAAGTTTATGAATTTGAATTTTTATGTGAAAATGTTTCTAGATAGTGGTTTCATGAGGATTTTTTTTTCTCAAATGGCTAGCAGATTTAATGTATTAAAAGCTTGGTTTCATTATTTTCTGAGAATGTTAGATGTATAATATATAAGTGATTAATTTGAGAGTTTTTATTATCTAGTGTAATAATATCCCCCAGAGGAAAGAAAATATTTTAAATTCACACAAAGAGAGGAAAAGGCTTTTTTCAGTTGCAGACACATCACTTTCTGCTTCAATTCAGCAGCCTCAGCTCCTGATGGAGGATAAAAATGAAGCACAAATCCAGGTTTCAAAAGTCTATTCTAGTTTTGATTGTTCAAAAGATAATTTTGTAATTGATTTGCACTCACACACAGCAAAATGAACAAACAAAAGAAGGCTAACAAACCAAATTTTATGTTGTGTCTGACCTGATAGGATAGATTTCTAGCATCCTGGTGGAGATTCTTAATCACAGACATATAAACCCACTCAGATATACACACAGGGTGTTCCCTAAACTATGCAATGGTGGCTAATGCTCTACCAGTTTTTGCCTCTGGTTGGAGAGAGAGAACTCAAACCGTGAGTTAAATAATGCACAGACAGACCAATAGCCTTGGCTAAGAAATAGAAACAAAGACAAAAATATTAGGAGGAAAAAAGATGAAGTTCTAGTACCACTTGAGATCCTGAGAATCATGAAAACATAGGCTTCAGCCTGAAAAATGATGAATTGCATTTTTCTGACAATGCACATGATTATCTATGACAGATGCATCCACTTGGGCATCTTGTAAATAACCTCTAAAAATGTCCAAATTTAATTTTAGAACATAAAAATATGATTCTCATGTAAATATTGAATATACATATATCAAGGATTTTATGCAACTGAATAATTAATGCAGATATCAGGAAAAATGATTTTTTAAAGTTTAAACAATCATTCTGGGGAACTGGCTATTTCTAGGCAGCAATGCTCTTGTGTGGTAGTCTTTTGATTTTAAAGTTTTGGGTATTTCCTAGGGTATATAAAAGAAACTCAGTTTATATGTTTTGAGATAGTATTGGAGAGCGATATTATGGTTTAAAATAAAAATAACATGCTTGAAAATAAATATAGTTTATATTTAGTTAATAAACATAAGAGTTAAATAACATTTATTTTAAAGATGCATTTAAAAAAACTGACTATAATATGGCCTTCAAGTAAATTCATAAAGCAAAAAACTTAAAAAATCTCCTGATTAGAAACAACTCAAACTTAAGCATAATGTTCTTAGAGTAATGTGGACTGCTTGCTGATTCTAGCTTTAAACATTTATACATTATAAATTTACATTATAAATTTAAACATTTATACCATTCCTATTTTCATTTTTTATTTATATATTTTTAGAGTTAAGATCTTGCTCTGTTACCCAGGCTGGAGTGTAGTGGCATGATCATAGCTCATTATAGACTAAAACTTCTGGACTTAAGAAATCCTCCTGCTTCCCAAGTAGCTGGGACTATAAGCACCCACCACCATGCTACACTTATTTTTACTTTTGTAGAGACAGGGCATTGCTATGTTGCCCAGGCTGGTCTCAAACTCCTGGCCTCAAGCAATCCTCCCACCTTGGCTTCTCAAAGTTATGTGATCACAGGTATGAGCCACTACTCCTGGCCCCATTGCTATTTTGATTGCATATTGAGACTTAAAGACTGAATTCCTTAACCTTAACTAAAAACAGAATATACATTTCTATTAACCAAAAAAGACAAATTATGTTTTCCATTTTTTGTCTGATAGATTATGGTTTTTTCAAATACTCAATTCACATGAATTATACACAATTTATTTTGGTGGCATAAATATTTTCACACCTTATGTACTATCATTTTAAATTATATAAGTGATACTGTGATTAGTATAATATTAGTTCATTTTAAATATCATCATAATATTGATGAATTTTTGCCATTATATATTGATTGTATAATCAACAGAGTCTGCACTTTAACAAGATTCTCAGATGACTTATATGCACATTTGATTCTGAAAAACACTGATGTAAGAAAAATAAGTAGAATTCAGATACTAATATTGTCCTTGCCATTCAGTAGCTTTGTAATCTTAAAACCTGACATAAACTCTTTTTTCGTCTATTAAACGGGACAGTAAAGCCTGCCTCTTAAGGCTGTTGTGAGTACTAAATAATTTTGTTACCTATAAATTTCCCGGTAAATTCAAGTCTCTATAAATGTTAGCCATCACAATAATATCATTTTAAAAAGTCAGACTAAAGTTTCCATTGAAAAATCTTAGATCTAAAGCAAGTAGTTATAATATTTGGTCTCTTAATCTCTACTAAATAAAACAGTTGAGTGGGCACATATATTTTATTTAGGGCAAATTTTCAATTTCTCAAGTAATTGTCTCTAGATTAGCGCTTCCAAGTAGTAGTTCCTGATTCAGTAATGTTTCATTTCCTGGGAATTTGTTAGAAATGCAAATTATCCAGTCCAGTCCTTACCTAATGATAGGAAACTGTAAGAAGAGGGCCCAGCAATCTGTGTTTAACAAGTTTCCTAGGTGATTCTGAAACATACTAAAATTTGAGAACTATTGCTCTAGATCAAACTCCAGGAATATTTAACCCAATTAATTTTGTGAGATGATCTAGTGAACACTTTTGGAGCAGACATCCAATCCATGATTATCATGCATCTAAATGTTGCTTAATGCATCTCATTGGCATCAACTTCCATCCCTGGACCTGAGTGCACACCATTTCTCTATAATGGCTCTACTTCCTAATTCTAAACATTTGGCATTTTCAGTGAAATGTATTACAGTAATAATTTTTCTAAGAGAGAAGAATTTTGTTTTTACCTTGATGTCAACCTCAATGAAGCTGCTTCCATACTTCTTCCTGGAGGGCTTTTGGCTGCTGTGATCCCGTAGCCAGCTATAGGCACATAGTGTCAGGAACACCTAGAGGTATTTTTGCAGCTACAGAATCTTCTGTTAACTTTCCTGTCCTTGTTCTGTTTACGGCAATGTTCATCCTGAGCTTCACGGTGCATCATGTTGCCAGGGGGACTTAGCAACCAAAGCAGCAGAGGAAGTGAAGGGATACATTTAAAAAATGTAGATCTAAACCTAATTTTTGTTTTCTTTTTGGTTAAAATGAATTCATAGATGTTAGTTATTGAAACTGCATGCTTTATTCATCATTAGTCTGTCTAAAATCCCTTGACTTAAAAATAAGAAATTACAGATACTGGACCATATACCCTGTGATAAATGCAGTGAGATTGACTGTCTTGGTCCACTGAGGCTACTATAACAAAATACCACAAACTGCATAGCTTATAAATAATTTATAATTTATTTCTCATGATGCTAAAAGCTAGAAAGTCCAAGATAAAGGACTGAGAGATTGGATATGTGGTGAGGGTTTGCTTTATGATTCATAGAGGCTTTCTTCTTAATGTGTCTTCACAAGTGGCAAGAGGCAAGGTAGTTCTCTGGGGTCACTTATATAAGGGCACAGATTCCATTCACCCCCCAAAAGCTCCACCTTTTAATATCTTCGCATTAGTGATTACCTTTCAACATATGAATTTTAGGAGGAAATAAACATTCATTTGATAGCACTGACTATGGAAATAAATTACAGATTTAATGAGAATCTTCAGGTGATAAACAAGATTGCATATTTGGACTCTATAAAGTGGCCAGTAAGATATAGAATATCAGGGGATAGAAAGAATTGAATGATAATGTGGTTAGTTACTCAGCTAGTTAATGAATTCATTCCCTTTGCAGCAGTGATTAAGGGAACAGTATTCATGAATTGGACTTTTTTCACTGAGAAATAATCCATTAGCTAAATAAAGAAACATCTATACCCTTAATACGGACTTCAAAGACTTTCATAGTCTAGACTCAGGCTGCCTTGCTGACTTACTTTCCTACTGTGCTTCACCTCGCTCATTTTGCTGGTTTTTGAACATATTAAGCACACTCCTCAAGGCCTCTAGTTTGGAATGCTTTTCCCCCACTGTCTTATTCTATGTTGCGTTGCTATGACAGAATACCACGGACGGGGTAATGCATAATGATCAGAAATTCATTTGGCTCACAGTTCTGGAGGCTGGGAAGTTTCAGAGCTTAGCTCTGGCATCTTGTAAGGGCCTTTGTACAGTGTTATTCCACGGGGGAAGGAGGAAGAACAAGGGAAGGTAAGAGTGCTCAAAAGCAAATCCTTCCCTGAAAGCTCTTTCCTAAAGGCATAGAGACCCCTTTAAAGGCCTCACTTCTTAATCCTGTTAAGTTGGCAATTAAGTATAAACACGAAGTTTGCAGGGGACAAACATTCAAACCATAGAATCCGCTTTATACATGACTTATGCTCATACTATTCAGGTTTCTGTTCATATTATCTTGTGTTTTGTTTTCATTTCTTTTTCTAATTTTTCCCTTTGTCTCATAAGAGAATGTTTGGATTCCTGTCCCTACCTAATAGCACCCCTGAAATTATCTATTACTCTTCTTTATTCATCTTTATAGCACTAACACTCTACAACACATTTTATTTTATTTGCATCTTTTCTCTTCACTATGGTATATGCTTTAAGAGGGGCAGGAATTTGTTTTTTCTTCTTCATGGCTGTAACACCAATATGTAGAACAGAGCCTGATGAGTAGGCAGTTGGGTAACATTTGTTAAATAAATGAATGAATAAATAACTTAGTGTTTTTCCAGTTTTGCTTGTGATAAACAGGCTACTTACTGTCTTGTCAGGCAACCAAGTGCAATCTTCAACAATGCACTTTGTCCGAATGTTCTTCAGAAATTAAGTCAAAAATTTCTCTCTGGGTAACTTTTCCCATTTGTGCTATTTGATAAAAACAGTGCTTAACATCGACTGAGCTCATACTATGTTCTAAACTGTGAATAGTGTGCATTATACTTTTCAGCGTAAAAGAATAATCAGTGAAAAAATCCAATTAATGAATACTGTTCCCTTAATCAGAGTTATGAAGGGAATAAATTCATGATTTAATAATCAAACCCTATGAAATGCACCAAGTTTTTATGGATCCTTAACAGAGAAAGAGCTCAGTAAATGTTAGCCATGCAGGAGGAATAATAATAATAATAATAATAATAACAATAATAATAATAAACAAATCCTAATTCTTCTTCCATAGGAAAGTCTCTAAATTTGGAGATAGTTGCCACAAAATATTGAGTCTTCTTTCTTCTCTTTAAATGCCTTCAGCTTTTAGAATATTTTCTTCTTCTTCAGTTTTCATAAATGTTCTGTTTGTGCAGTTTATAAATAGCCTGTTTATAATGTATTCCAAGATGGGAAACAATATTCTAGCTACAATTTAGCCTAGTGTAGAGTTTAGGCAATATAAGATGGAAATGATGCCCTAAATACAATCTTACATTGTGGCAGGTTTCAATTTAATGTTAATAATTAATTTCAGTGAATGTGTTAGTCAAACAAAATCACATGTGTCTTCTCATTTCAAGTAGTCTTAAACAAATTTACTCTCAAAGTAGTTGAATGTAAGTGGTGAAATGTAAAATATTCTACAATTATTTACATAGTTTCTTTTTCTTAAATTTTAATCAATTATTTCAGGCTTTTGGGAGCTTTTTAAATTTTGATTTAAATATCCAAAATAGTAACTATCCCTCCAACTATTATATCATTAAAATATGTTTAATTATGACAGATATTGTTGCTTGCTTATAAAACACCCAATAGCTCTTTTCTTCACCCTAGAAGAACTCAATTTTATTTTCTTTTAGTTGGCCTCATGCCCAGTCCTGAGATATAAATCATAATTGTCTAAACAAACCATATAAAAGTCCTAATTTGGCATTTCATGGTCTAGGAGAGGCATATGATTCTCTTCTGGCCAATGAGACATAAGAAGTTTTCTGGGTGCTTCTGTGCAAGATTTTCTTTTCTGATAATGAATGGTATGGAAAACAGAAAGCCCTTTGGCTGCATTCCTTTATTCCAGCAAAAAACACTACTGTGTGAAGGTTTGTGGCTCTTTAATAACCACAGAGATGTCCATTTCCTGGTATGGAGACTGATGAGAGAAAAAGACATAATTGAGCTAGGAGAAAAATGATCATCTATTGAACTAAGGCACAGTTAGTGTAAATTCTATTACACATAGCTAAAAGCTACAAGTTTTGCCTTATTTAGGATGCTTATATGTCATTAAATAGGAAAAGATAAATAGCAGAATCTAAACTTCTTTCCACATTAAGCATGTCAATTTTAGGGGACATAACTGCTCAAAAGTTTTAGATCTACCAAATCTATCATTAGTTCACATCTATCTCTTTTCCACACAACCGCACAAACACAGAGAATGACTTTAAAATTTACTGAATGTCTCATTGAAAATTAGAAACCCTATGTTACATACCTTTTCAAAATGTCTAACCTAATTGAGTTTCTCAAAAAGGAAAATAGTATGGTTTTTAATGACTCATTTTTTATTTTTCTTGTTCCAATACTAAACCAGAGTGATTATTGTTAGAGTGATTACTGTGCTAAATGCTGAAAAAGTATTTCTGTCAAAGTCCATTTTTAATGCTTTTTTTCCTTCAGATATTAAAAGCAAAGTCACTGACTTACGTTGAAATACACCCAGGGAATTATCTTTTTCACATTTTAAATACTAGAGAATATTTTCTTTTTTCCAAATTTTCAGCAATTTTTTGTGTGCCTCTACAACTTCTCAAATATTGTCTACAGTGGTCCTATGATCCAATTTTACTGTGTCTCCACCCTCCAGATTGTAATTTAGAAGATCATATTGCATTCATTTGACTATATTGAAAGTATCCAGATCTCCATTGCTTAATGGAATTTAAATTACCATTAATAACGTTATACTCTCATGAAGTTCAAATCAATCTCCCTTGAAGAAAAATTGGAAGTCTAGGGCTATATTATCATCATTATTATTTAATAGTACATTTGCTTCTAAAGTTCGGACTATCTTTCTTAGTCACTTTTCTATAAACACTCTGCTGTGGAAAAAGATAGATTCAAAGTACTATAAAAAGAGTTGATATTTGCAAAAGAAATGCTAAGTATAAATACTATATATATTAGTATATACAGTATAGATCATATACCCTTAGCACTTTCTTTTGTAAATACCAACTCTTTTTATAGTAGTTTGAGACTCAGAGGCACACATTATGATATATATTTAAAATGTATGTATTTATCTGTATTTAAAAATTTCAACTTTATTGAGGTATAACTGACAAAATTGTGTGTTTAAGGTGTACAATGTGATGATTTGATATGCATATATTTTGTGAAATGACTCCAACCATCAAGTTAGTTAACACAACTGTTGCCTCTGATAAAAGAGAAACTTCAACTGATTGAAATTTAAAGGAGTTTAATTGAGCAATGAACAATTCACGAATCAGACAGCACCCAGCATCACAGCAGATTCACAGAGAATCAAGAACAACCATGTGGTAAAAGAGGATTTATGGATCAATAAAAGAAAAAATTGGCAGTGAGGTATAGAAACAGCTGGATTGGTTACAGGTTGGTGTTAGCCTTATTTGAACAGTTTGAACTCTTAGCGGTCTATGAGTGGTTGAAGTATGACCACTTAGATTGGCCAAGACTTAGTTATAGTTACAGGCACATACTCCTAAATTAAGTTTACGATCTCGTCTGACTATTAAGCTAGGTTATAGTTCATCTACAAGGACTAAAATATTGAAGTACGGAGTCCCTCTCAGGCCATGTTTAGTCTGCTTTAGCACCTCACATAGTTACCCTTTATGACTTAAATATTTTTACATTTCCAACCACAATGTTTACGTGTGTGTGTGTTTGTGTATATACACAGATGCCTGTAAGACATTATCAAAATTGTATTTTGTGAATATTACATGCATTCACACAGGAACAATATTGATTATTGGCAAGTAATGTGAATAAGTGATGTGGATTGATGGAAACTCTCATGAAATAGTGTGTGTGTGTGTGTGCGTGTGCCATCAGTACTGATATTGCCTCCAGAAAATATGGGTTTATAAGTCAATGTGAGCTGAGGTGAACAATTTTGATCTGTATACTATTGTATTTATTTTATACACAGGAAAAATAATG